GAATAGACTATACACATTTCAAATTTTAATGTTTTCCTGTGAATAAAAAGTATTATAAGAAACAGGTAGATAATGCATTGTTATTGACGTAGCTCCTGCGTCCAACGTGGACCTGCTGAGCTCGCTGCCCGCGGGCGCCTCGTTCGACGCCGTGGACGCGCTGAGCTCGCAGCTGGGCGCCAGCACGCTCTCTGCAGGTCGGTACACTACATGATACACAACTGTCTAAGCTCATTTACTCAATTTTCTTACACAAATTTTCGAAAAACATGGTCTTAGTGGGTCTTAACCCTGCAATCCCTTGTGTTATTCAATTTGAGGCCTACTATCTTTAGAGGGTTGAATACATATCTGTTTTACGTTCAACGAAATCTAAACGAGACGGCGTTCGACGCTCTAATTGGCCGGCTCCAATGAACTGAGCAATCAGAACGTAAAACGAACTCGTACTAAGGTCTCTGCTATTTCGAAAGTTCTTTTTTGGTATTAAATTGGTAACGAAAAATATTTACTTCATTAAAAAGTTTTTCAACTTGGTTGGTATAAAATCAATTCTGCTTATGCCATTATAAGTGAATAGAGCAATAGCGAAGTACTAGTTATTGTTAGAACAATTTCAAGTATTGACAATTTATTTTTCAAATAACACTGCGCAAAATTGCGTGGAGGTTTTTCAAAGGTGCGCTACTTTTGCGCAAAGAATCAATATTTAATTTTGTACTCTTCATACGCGTTGGGCGTAGTGGTAATACATAATTAGCCAGTGCGTACATTGTAATAATTGTGTATATTAATATATTTGCGTTTAGGTTAATTTTATTGAGCAATATATAAGTTTTATATTTAGTTACACTGGCGTGTGCGCACGTACGGTGCCTTTACTGGTGTATGTATGTAGTGCCTAAGTATCAGTTTTTTTGTGATATTTCTCGATTGTTCATTCAATTTTCATCATTTTATAATTATTTTAATTATATGGAAATTTTTGTGTTTTTATTTTCAGTTTAATATATTTTTTTACGTTTTTCGGTTTATTTTATATTGTTTTAGTTCTCGCGTATGAAATGTTGATTTATCTTTATTTTCCGGAAACAATTACCCGCGTGGTGTCGCGGTCACAGCCCGAGTCGTTCGTCACGTGTGACCTTTTCCGTCCGGTTTACGTTACGTATGGTGTCTTCGTGTTATGAGTCGTAATCGAGTGCATGCGCGCCAATAAAGATGTACCCAACAGTTTTGGACACTTTCAGGAATTTTTTATTTGCAGGCGAAACAAGCGAGTCCCCCTTGCAACGAGCCATGAACCATGCGATGCAGGTGATTCACGAGACGGCCAGCATTACCAGCCCGGGCCAGGCCGCGCGCCTGCAGGCGGCGCTGGGCGGCGTGGCGCGCGAGCTGCCCGGGCCGCTGACGGTGCAGCGCCTGTGCGGCCTGCG